AAAGGAAAAGGATGAGGGATGTCCAGGCTCACCCCACAGCTCCAGGAGCCCCTCGGGGGGAGTGTCCTGGTTTGAAAACCAAGTGAGGAATTTTTGGGACGCTCTGGTCACAGCATTTGGGTGCTGTTTGACCACAGCATCCCAAAAACCCTCACTTCCTCTTCAAACCAGCACAGGGGGTGACAGAGGTGGCACACGGGGACAGGCGACACCTTGCCCTGACCCACGGCTCCAGGTGTGGCACTTCCAGCCCCAAACACGGCTCCCGTGATGCCAACGGTGACACAACCCCCAGGAATGTCACATCCCAGGAAAACGGGACAAAGAGGGATGGAGGAGACCTTGGGGTCACTTTGGAGAGCCCAGAAAACCCAGAGCAGCTCCAGGTCCATCACAGCAGATCCTGCTGGGTGCCAGGACAGCCAGAGCCAGCCTGGCTGTGCCAGGGAAGGGGAGAATTCCAGGGAAAGGAGAGGATTCCAGGGAAAGGAGAGGATTCCCAGGGAAAGGGAGGATTCCAGGGAAAGGGAGGATTCCCAGGGAAAGGGAGGATTCCAGGGAAGGGGAGGATTCCCAGGGAAGGGGATGCTCCTGAGGGAAGGTGATGCTCCCCAAAGCCACCACGGGACACTGGGAATGCCACACTGCCTCCCTGGCACTGGGTGCCCACATCACCACCCCAGAAAGAAAGAGCAGGGAGAAGAGGGGTGTTTGGTTGTGTTGTTCTCGTTATTATTAATTTTTTCGTGGTTTTTGTTTTTTTTTTTTTTTGGCATGAATACCATCTGTTCACCTGAACTACGGACCTTCTGTCTCTAAGAAATCTTTTGGTATCTTCCCATCTGGACGCAAACAAAAGGATGAGGAAAAGAAAAGATGAAAAGCAGAATTTCCTCCCCCCACACCCCACCAGCAGCACAGGGATTTGGCCACCACAGGGATCCTCCAGGGCCACCTTTGGTGACCCCCAGGTCCCCTGCAGGTGCTCAGCTGTGGGGATGGTGCCCCTTTGCTCCCCTGGCCCAGCTTTGGGGGTGCAATGGGGGGCACTGGGAGTGCCTGGAGTGCCGTGGGAGCAGTGGCCATCCCTGCTGGCTGCGAGGTGGCAGCACTGTGGCTGATGGCCAGCAGGAAGGAGGGAGCTGTGACCGTGCTGCCAGCACTGCTGGGGTGGTCAGCACTGATGGTCAGTGCTGCTGGGAATGGTCAGTGCTGCTGGGAATGGTCAGTGCTCCTGGGGATGGTCAGTGCTCCTGGGGATGGTCAGCAGTGACGGTCAGCACTGACAGGGTGGTCAGCAGTGATGGGAATGGTCAGCACTGATGGTCAGCACTGACAGGGTGGTCAGCATTGCTGGGAATGGTCAGTGCTGCTGGGAATGGTCAGCAGTGATGGTCAGTGCTCCTGGGGATGGTCAGCACTGCTGGGAATGGTCAGCAGTGATGGGAATGGTCAGCACTGATGGTCAGCACTGCTGGGAATGGTCAGCAGTGATGGGAATGGTCAGCACTGATGGTCAGAACTGCTGGGGATGGTCAGCACTGATGGTCAGTGCTCCTGGGGACGGTCAGTACTGCTGGTCAGCACTGATGGGAATGGTCAGCAGTGATGGGAATGGTCAGCACTGCTGGTCAGCACTGATGGTCAGTGCTCCTGGGGATGGTCAGCACTGCTGGTCAGCACTATTGGGGTGGTCAGCAATGATGGGAATGGTCAGCACTGCTGGTCAGCACTGTTGGGGTGGTCAGCACGGCTGTGGCCAGCAGCCCCCCTCCAGCTGGGGCTCG